TGAGAGCTGAGCCCAGGGGGGGCTGGGCCTTCCTAAACACCCTGGTGCCCCCCAGCCCCCTCTCTGCAAGGAGACCCAGGGACTCGTCTTGGCCCCTGCCCCTCCAGCACAGCGGTGTCCTCGAGGTTCCCATCCCTATGGGGTCCCCAGGACTCGTCTTGGCCCCTGCCCCTCCAGCACAGCGGTGTCCTCGAGGTTCCCATCCCTATGGTGTCCCCATCCCTGCAGCATCTCCATCCCCATCCCCATGGTGTACCCATCCCTGCAGCATCTCCATCCCCGTCCCCGTGGTGTCCCCATCCCTGCAGCATCTCCATCCCCGTCCCCGTGGTGTCCCCATCCCTGCACACCTGCCTCCGGGGACTCCACGGCAGCTGAACGAGATGAGAGACCCAGACAGGAGCTCGCAGGGAGCTCACGGGAGCGGGGGGCAGCTTCCCCAGGGCAGACGCCTGGCACGGACCCGGTGTTGTACAAACACACCCGCACGCACCGCTCCATGCACAGCCCCGAGCACACAGCCCTACACACACGCACACAAAAACACAGCCTTGCACACACAGCCCTGTGAATGCACACGCACGTGCACCCCGTTTGCTCCTTGCGCACGGGGTTCATCCTGTTCCTCGCCCGGTCGCGGTGCCCGCACCGCAGCTGTTGTGCCTTCGGTGGTTGTCTTGGCCGTTGTCTGGTTGTCGGCTGTCAGGTATCTGTGAAGGGCCTGGCCCCGTGTCAGGCAGCCGGTGACACCGCTCCACGCCTGGCCCCGTGCAGGCGCCTGTACCGCAGGGGCGCAGGTGTGTGCGTGTGTACCTCTGCCTGTGTGCATGTAGGGGATGTGTGCATGTACGTGTAGTACATGTGTACACACACGTGTGTGTGTCTCCCTGTGTGTGGGTGGGGGTGTGGGTGCGTACGGGTGTTGCTGTCGGCACACCCTGGCGCTGCCATCGCGCCCACGCTCATTTATACAAACCCAGGGTTTCTTCTTCCCTCTCCCCCTCGCCTTGCATGGTTGTAATAATATTCTGGCTCCTCTCCAAGTATCGGGGTTGCCATGGAAACAATAAAACTGCAGTGATTTCGGGCTCCGTCTCCTATTGTAAACGTGGAAGTGCCGGAGCGGGCAGGCAGTGATTCCCCTGTGTCTGCGCCCCGCGCCGGGGGACGCTGCCCGTGCCCCATGTGC